ATTGATACATCATCGAGAGAACGATCTAAGCAAAGACTCGAGCACATCATCTTCCTCGCATTCATCATCCAGGATTGAGGAATCAACTAAGACAAAGTTCACAACATCTTTCTCCTCAGTGCATCAATCAAGATCAAGGAAGAGATGAAGACGAAGCTTACAACAATCAGCATGGCAGTCACAAATTGTCAAAATCAAAAGCAAACAAAAAAAAACAAAATTAAAAAAAAGTTAAAGCCCGCTAAGTCAACAGAAATAAAAAATTAACTGAGGTAAAAGTTAGGGCATCCCGATGGATCGAAAAAAATTCAAAACAACTTTAAAAAAAATCGGTCCATGCAAAAATAAGGGATTGAAAACAATAAATTGGAAAACAATGTTGTGACTGCCACCTCAAGAATCATCAAGGCTTCTCATTAACGCTTGGATCTTATCAACGCTTGGATCTTATCAAAGCTTTTTCATCGGTGTTTGAATCTTATCAGCGCTTGGATCTTGTTAATGCTTTTCATCGGTGCTTGGATCTTTATCTACGCTTCTCATCATTTGTGTGACTATGAACTTTCTCTTGAGGATTAAACGCATCTGTTGGATTAATTGGACTTAGGATTGAATAACATCAAGGAGATTGAGGCGGGATAAATAAATTTTGAGCCTTATATCTTTTGTTTCTTAAACCATGAATCATGGCCACGTTACAACCTTTAAAAGTCCTAATTGAGGCTAGGTTCACTATGAAAGCATTCTCAGCAAGATTTGTGTTAAACTGACTCCTATGTTTATTAAAATTATTTCTAACTACTTCGCTTCTTCGAATATTCATCTTATAACCTTCCATTTCTTTTCAAATAATCAATTTTGATTTCAAGAACTTGCGTCTGCATCAAACGGAATTACTTTTTGAAAATGTACAATTTTGTCTACGAATCAATACTTAGCATAAAGGAGATCTCAAATTTGGTTTAATCAAAATACATCCTTCCAAGAAGCTTCTAACTAGGGGCAAGGCATCTAAGAGGACTCCTATAAACAGGGGAAAATACTAATGATCATAGGGTATATCGCATACTATTGATAAGGGGTGATCATTCTGAGGTTCAATCAACTTAGATCAAATTTCAAAGCATTATTCATTAAGGAGCATACCTTTCGAAGAGGCATTCATACCACGATAGGATATGACTCAGTTTCCTCGTTTAAATAAACCCCTCAAGGCCTGGAAGCAGGGGAAACTTTCCAAGATTCAAATGTTGGGGCAGTGCGTACCAAGTTCATCCTACTGCACATAGGGTCCAAATTCTTCAAGCAACTTCAAGTATAAACTTTTCAAGCTTCGAATAATTGGGGCAATCTATGTCAAGTTCATGGTAAAGTCTGAGTTCTTTCTGAGGGTACTTCCTCCAGATAAGGAACATGTTTTTCAAAATTCGAATGTTGGGGAAAACTACTGCGAGGCTCGAGCAAAAAGAGTTGATATAAAAGGGTCCATCAAAGCCAAGCATTTGCAAGAATCTTTTAATCAGGGGAATAATGAAAAATAGTAGGGTCATCCACATTATGATCAAACTGTTTCCAAGCTCTTATCGAAGAGAATCTCCTCTAAGACCCTACCAACAAATTAGGGGAAAATAGTCCATACAAAAGTAATCTCTCTTCATACTTTCACAATCTTCTAGTGGATCTCTCTTCTACGTCAGCAATCTTCGAGTTCGAAACGAGTATCAGGGAATCATCCAAGCACAACACTCAACCATCATGTGACAAGCATCCTTGTTGCATAAACAAACCTCCATACTATAAGCATCCATGACCCGTCACAGGGGCACCATTCAAAAAGCATTCAAGTCATAATCATAAAGCATAAGGCTACATAAATCATGCATGAGGGCTCCTCGATCCAAAAAAGTGCGCCATACTATCATCTCATCTATCTAAACACTCGCATTTCAAAGCCCAACTATGCGCTCGCATTTCAAAATCCAACATTCACTTACACATATCCAAGTCGTTCATCACATACATCAATCAATCATCACATCACATACCTCAATAAATCATTACACTTCACGCATCAATCAAATTTGCACGCATAGCATGAAACCTCGTTTTTATGTGAAGGCAATCATCATTATCAATCAAGCTATCAATTCACAAATTAAATATCAGAAGTAGATTCTCCTGGTTGATCACGGTAATTGATTATCCATAAGACCTCGGTATAAGGTAATTCAAATTGAATCTCGGCAGTAGATTCTCCTGGTTGATCACGACAGTTGATTATCTGGAAGACCTCGGCAGAAGGTACCGCAATTGAATCTCGGCAGTATATTCTCCTGGTTGATCATGATAGTTGATTATTCGAAAGACCTCAGTGGAAGGTAATTCAAATTGAATCTCAATAGTAGATTCTCCTAGTTGATCATGGCGGTTGATTATCCGAAAGACCTCGGCAGAAGGTAACTCAAATTGAATCTCGGTAGTAGATTCTCCTAGTTGATCACGGTAGTTGATTATCTAGAAGACCCCAACAGTAGGTAATTTGAATTGAATCTTGGCAGTAGATTCTCCTAGTTAATCACGGCAAGTGATTATCCTGAAGACCTCGGCAGAAGGTAGTTCTCAATTGAATCTCGGCAGTAGATTCTCCTGGTTGATCACGACAGTTGATTATCCAGAAGACCTCGATAGAAGGTAGTCCTCAATTGAACCTCGGCAGTAGATTCCTTGGAAGTCTCGACAATAGATCTCCCGTCAAGAGCCTCACATTATGCATATACATCATGAATGGCATCTTGCAAATTACAAACTTTCTAGGGGTTCATCTTTAGCAGGCTTATCTGTGCGAACTACATAGTTCAAGCTTTAAAGAAGTTTGGGGTTTATTTTCTTCATGTTGATAATGGTTAAGACGACACGACCAATATCCCCATGGATTTGGGGTATATTTTTCTTCACATTGATGGTTATGGTTGAGACGACACGACCAACATCATCGTAAGTTCGGGATATTTTTCTTTCTGTTGATAGTCATAGTTGAGGACGACACAACTGACGTTACCAGTAAATTTTGGGTACCATCGATTCAAATCTAGTATATTTCGTTTGGTTATCGAATCTTAGTTGAGGTCTGACACAACCAACATCGTCATTCTAAGTTCCACATATCTGGTTTCAAGTTTTTTCAATTATTTATCCCCGAGGTTACGATAGATATGCAAATCTTCAAGGTTATATTATCCATCCCCTAGGTTGCGATGGATAACATAAGCCCATCTCCGTTGTCTTTTATCCCCTAGGTTGTGGTAAATGAACAGGTTCATCCTCGTACTGTTTACTCCCTAGGTTGTAGTAAACATAACGAAATTTGTGTAATATGTTGCATCAGTCTCCACGCAGCGACGTGTTATCAAACTTTATTTTATTCGTCCCTCAGGTTGTGATGAATATATAAAATTTGTGTCACAAACTTACTATATTAGTCTTCAAGCATTAGTAGCATAACTTTGCAAAACTTGTATCATTTTCCTCCTAGGTTACATCAAATAGGGAAAATATTATAATCTCTCAGATACCGACGAGTTATCCGCGTTGTCGTGTCTGAAATCTATCAAAAATTTGGTTCGAACGCTGGTAAGATGATACATCGTCATCCATGCTTATTCTTCACACTCATGGGAACGCCGTACAACGTGTCCTTATAATCTTTCGGATCAAATTTGGGGTTTTCTAATATTTAATAAACTTTCGAATAAAATGTGTGAGACCGACGTATTCTCGCACTATTCAATCGAAAGATGATTAAATAGGGACAACTTTCATACCTCAAATTTTTCCTACCCCTAATTATATATAGAGTTTCTTTAAATAAATCGTATTATTTAAATTCTCACTTTTGCGGGGGTGTTTAAAAGTCCATAAAGTGCTAAAGTATGTTCCAACTTAAGAGAGGTTTTAAGTGAGAGGGCACAAATCTATTTTACAAAGGCTCAACTCAGTTTTGGTTCTATTTTGAAAAAATATATATTTTGTGTTAGTTATAACATTTCTACTATTATTGAACATCATTAAATCTATTATTAATCATACTAATTTTTCTTATCATTAAACTTAATAGTAAACTTTGTTTTGTTTATTGATTTAGAGAAATGTTTTTATGAGAAAAAGAGTATACACGCTTATTTTTTAATGGATATTATAACAATCAAAACATCGGGCCCATTTCCATTTTTTGAGAATTAAAAACTATTTTTTTATTGATTTTTAAAGTTGTTTGTTTTATTTGAACTAATAGGCCCATCCAATCATTTAAAAATATATATATTTTGTTAATAACATTATTATTATTACTATTTTTTAATATATTATTATTATTATTATTATTATTATTATTATTATTATTATTATTATTATTATTATTATTATTATTATAAACATTACTATAGGTTTATAAATTATTCTGATTTTTATGTTTAAATATTATATATTAATAAACTTAACTTCTTTGTTTGGCTTTATCAATTAAAAGATAAAAAGGCCTTTTTGTTGCACAATTCAAGCCTTACAGGCCCAAGTTCAAAACAAAAACATGTTGTGGCCCAAAAAAAAGAGAAACGAGTGGTGTGAAAATTGAAATGAACATTGGTTTGTTGTAAAGAAATCGGTACTGTTCAGATAGTTGGAAATAAACGCGGTTCTAAAAACCGAGGCTTAATCAACATAATCAAAACACAATCGACACTTACAGAAATAAATTGAAGATTCTACAGACACATTCGTCTCTTTCCTAAAATTCTAAGACAAATGGATTAATAGCTTTAAATCTCCTAAGAAATATAAAACAAAAAGGCTATAAAAATAAAAAATCACAGTAAGCAAGTGGGGGAGTTACAGCATAAAAATACAAAAAGAGGAAAGTTACAGAAGGAGAACAAATACGGTAAAGAGGAGAAGAAAAAAGGCGATTACAGTACAAGAGAACCAGATTCTTCCCCTCCCAATCGATGTCCTCACCACAAACCGCCGTCACGAACCGCCATCCACAGCCATTGCTCACATCACCTGCAGATCCACCGCCGACAACCAGAGCCGTCGTACGACTCACAGCCAGCCTCCCGTCCGCTTCCGATTCCGATCATACTAGATCCACGGTCGCACGACCTCTGCGAACTCAACTCCAACAACACCACCACCAATACGGGACCCGCAACCATCGAATCATCCTTTTCTCACGACATCTCCACCTCTTCTCGAAACTGCTACATCACCCAGCCACCTGTCCTTTGGATCGATCAGAGAACTTGAAAGAAAATATGTAAGAGAAGCCCTATTACTATTACTGTTTGTTTCGAATGAAGAAGGTAAGTAGAAGAAGATTTGCGTGAAAACAGAGAAGTCAAAAGAAATAGAACAATGAAAATGCGTGGAAATTTAAGTAGGACGGCAGCCTTCTTCTAGTTTTCTAAGGCTGTAAAAGATTTTTTTTGTTTTGTTTTGGACCTTATCTCCTTAAAGCCCAATTTCTTTTATTCTTTGTATATGTTATACCGTTTTTGTTTTCTTGAGCCATTTCTGTCTTTTTTTTCTTTTCTCAAGGTCTGGTACGAATTCTCACATTCACCACCTTTTTTTAATTATTTCAGCTGGTAAATAATTTTGTTTGGGCCATAAACATTAAGCCCACCATCAATTCCCAGTAATACACCCCTCTATTTTTTTATGCTAACGCATCCCTGTTGTCTGGGCCTGAATTCAGGCCTGTCCTATTAACACCCCCTTTATCTTGCTAACTTAGAATAATTTACACCCCATGCGAATTTAATTTTATTCATTTTCTCTTATGATTTCATTCTATATGTTCATTTATTTTATCTTTTTTATATTTACATATGTTTGTATTTTTATATTTTTTATGATTATATGTTATTATCTATTATTATAAATAATTAATTATTTTAACTCACTTAAAATATAATATTATTCATTTGTATTAAATCTTATAATCACGTGTTTAATAATATTTCTCACAACATATTTTAATTTAATAATTTATATCAAAATATTAAAATCCACATTTTCATTAAACTATATAATTCGTAAGCGACATGTGACCAATATCTGACCACGTGATAAGAGGGCTATATCAGACTCTTCAATTATATACGACTAAAAAATATGCAAGCAAACGTCAAACTATTTTTGTAATAAATTAACTTCGCGCTTAGTTCAAAATCTCCGATATCTACACATTCGAACTAAGTACGAGGAAAATTAAAATATCTGTGTAATCTATAAAAAACATAAACCAACCGTGAACTACGAAATGGGACTCTGATTCCTCATAAGAGGATACGTAGGCATGCGATCAAAAATCGTGGCGAGTCCCGCTAACTAAAATTCAAACCCTTTTCCCGCTAACTAAAATTCAAACCCTCTTCCTGCTAAATAAAATTTAAATCCTTTTTCCCCAATAATAATTAAAAACCATATTTCTTAAACACGCGCTTCTAAATCTAGTATCCTGGTGAACAACGTAGATAGGGGGTCCTAACACCTTTCCCTTGTCTAGAACCGAGTCCAAAACTAGAATCTCTGACTTTTAGGGTTATTCCTTTAGGATAAAAATTAAGGGTGGCGACTCTGATTTAAAAACCAGTTGCAACAGTGTCACCTTCTTGTCAATCATTAAAAACGCACGTGTGGAAACACATTCAACTCAGTACCAAAACATCATCTTAATAACACGAGCCCACCGGAAAAAATCATAGTGTTGTAGCCTACATGGCACCACTAGAGGTGAGTTAAAACCAAGGATTGCCTACATGGAAATTTTCCTCCCCACCATACCAAGCACGCAGATGAGTTTCCAAGTGGGAAACGCCATAAACATCCTCACTTGCTTCCATCGCAATGGTAGCTCAAATATGTATGACATACCGAAACGCCGATAAGATCACACAGGACATCGCATCGATATAAAGTCCATAACAATAGTCATAAGTGGATCATTGTCTGTCAATCAGGTCTACTCCAATTCGAGCATATGTCACACAATCACACTGCGTCAATTCATACAAGAGTCACATTCGAACGTTCAACTGGAACGACGGGAAATAAAAAAGATGATCGCATATAGCATTTATAACATAATGAATTTCCAACACTTTGCATAGTGAAGGCCCGATTCTCTAAGAGAAGTCCCAACAAATAAATCCCTTTTTAGTCCCAGACTATCGCTAAGAGAACCTAGCAGCGAGAGTTCGCTACGTGAACCTTAGCTCGCTAAGCGAAAGTGTAAATTCAGCAAACCAAAGAATGCAATCAAAACCAAGTCCACATAAACTTTCTAATCAAGGGGCGGGTTAATTGGCCATATATCACATGTATAAACCAGATTGGCAACATAGGGTGGGATTAATACAATGACTTGCACTCCAACAACTATTTCCTAAGTTCGTTTATACTTATTCAATATTTAAGCCACTTAACTTCTAATATCCATATCCCTTTAATGAATTGAAAGTTTGACATCTAGTCGTATCCATATTAATCATTAAAATACCTTTCCAATGCTTTTGACTATGCTCCGTTTTGAGTTGTAAAACTCATGTTATGGTCATTTTAGTGAAATACTAGTTTAGTTCAGTTTGCAGACTTTCACTAAGCGAACACATAGTTCGTTAAGCGAACCTGACAGATCAGAATACCATTTTTGGAGTTATAATACTCATTTTTCCATATCTATTCATCTCAATCCACACCCCAGTATGTATTAACAACCAAATGCATACAGAATCACTATAGAACACATTTTCCATCAGTTAATCAAGCATGCAAAACATCATACTCAATCCCTAACTCCACATTCAATTATTCCACAAACTTTCTACCCAAGTTCTATCTAATGGAACTCACCTTGTAATTAGAGGAGGTTAGGTTGATGATAAAGTTGCCATTGAGTTCTATTTTTGGACAAAACTTCACCTCCAACACCATCAAACTCGTAGCTCTATAACACCAATTTCCAGCAAAAATCACCAAACTTCAAACGTGTTTTCCTTAATGATCACAAACATCCAGAATGAAAAGTTTATACGGAAAATGTATGGAATTTTGTAAGCTTTCCAAAAAATCTAGAATCAGCTCAAATGGAGTTACAAGTAAAACGATATTACCTAATTTGTGGGGGCTGCACCGTAGTTACTAAAATGGGTTTTGATCATGATTTCTTCTTCTTTCTCTCTTGCTCCTAAGTCCTTCACTCTTTCAATTCTGATTTCATATGTCAAACAACTCTCTTTGATGATATAGTTTCTCCCTTAGACCCATAATGCCCTTTAACTAAGCTATGATCACCAAGATGCCATTTAGTTCAATTCCAACTAATCCACTAATTCTCCTTAGCAACTCTCAATATATATATATATATATATATATATATATATATATATATATATATATATATATATATATATATATATATATATATATATATATATATATATATATATATATATATATATATATATATATATATATATATATATATATATATATATGCTAAATGACATCTTGACACTTAATAGTCATCAGGCCTCACTACATTTTATTCTCATGCTTAGAGAAATATGAATGTTACATTCTCCCCCCTTATATTGAATTCACCCTCGAATTCCCTCTAATCACATGACAACAAGTTCCTCACATATTTTTCCAACAAGAGGGGATAAAATTTTCCCATTACTTCTCCTTCGAATAAACTGTGTGACTTCGTCTGAATACCGCTTCATTCAAGAAAACACAACTCTCCCCTTAGTCCTCACATAACATATTTCTCCTGATACTCTGTCTGGACATACCTGAGAGAAGATCCTTCTGAGATCCCCAACCTTTACTTCTTTGCACGTAGTCTGTGTAACTTTGGAATTCTTGGCAATCCTTTCTGATTAGATATTCCTCATCCCCAATGTTTACCAAGCTCATCCTTGCTTAACACATGCCACTGATTTTCCATTTCTTTTCCCTTGGCTCCTTGCAATACCTCAAATCCATACAGTGTCATACATATGCTTGTTGAATTCCCTGGTCCTGACTTCTAATTCCCAGATGCTCAAATTGACTTGCTTAAAGTCTACCTTCTTCATACCACAAAGTCTCTTACTTTGATCCTTCCTTCAGTCTTAGACAAAATTAACTGCCACCGCAGTCCACAAGGGTGTGCCAATCTACAACTACAATCTTAATATCCAACAACTTCACAAAATCTAACAGTTAACCTGCAACCATCATCAAAGTCTTCATGCACGCTCCTAAGTGTCTAAGACATTGTCACAAAGAGTCTACTTCAAGCAAAATTCTTTACTTGTCTTTAGTATTCTCATGGTCACAATACTTTGTCTAACTGTTGACATTCACAAGCTTAACCGTTGACTCATGAATATCTGATCACATGCCTTTCGCAAAGTCTCCTATAAGTTGGTCCATCAACAATACTCTTCTAGATTATGGTGGGTCCTTGAGACTGAGACGAACGAAGATATTTCTTCAACGAGTTTCTCTTAGAAAGATATCTCCATTCAAAACAACTCTTACCAATTTTCTATTCATACCTACTACAGACTTATATGATTCTTCTTAAACAACATATTAACATTACCGTTAAATTAAATAAAAAATAAAATTATAATTAATCTTTTAAATTACTTGCCATCCTCATCACACATGTCCTACCATATATATATATATATATATATATATATATATATATATATATTAAATGAGAACTTTTATATTTCTTAATTGTTTTATCAGTTATTTTCTGTATTTTTATATTAGAAAATTAATAGTAAAAAATAATTGATTTAAATATATTTTAAATTTTTAAGTTTTCAAAATTGTAAGAATTAATCCAAAAATAAAAATTTAAATCTCTGCATTTATAAATTTTGCAGTCACATACAATTAGTGTGTAGTTAATGTATTTTGGAGGTCGTTTTTGTTATTACTTTCCTCAATATTATCTCTTTTTAAATCTAAACTTACCTATTTGAACTAAATGTAAGATTTTGCTATCATAATCTTACTAATTTGAATTAAATGCAGGAAGGTTCTAGTGTTGTATTTTTACTTATTTGTACTAAATGCATGTTGTCATAATATTATTTATAAGAACTAAATGCGGCATTATGCAGTCATAAGTGACAACAGAGAATATATGTCCCAAAAATAGAGTGTTCAATGAAAATTCTTAAAATAAAATAAAAATGAGCGATAAGAAGTTACGATTAGAAAAATACAACCTAAGATGTCAGCCAATCAG